AGTTACGAAGAGGAAAAAACGAAATTGTTGGAAAATATTCACTCGGAGAAGAGAGAGAGAGAGAGTAATTGATTAAAAATCTCATCTCGTGTTTGTGAAATAAAAAGCAATATAAAAATAATAAAGAAAAAAAGATAGAAAGAAAGATGAATAAAAAAATGAAAACGTTGTAACAACAAAACCAATATTTGTTTGATAACTCGATAGACATCATAAAAAATATTTACAAATGTAAATATATCTTATGTAAATATGTATATATGTATGCATTATACAGATATTCCTTCCAAAAATATCGAATCGTACTACACCGATTTCTATGTTATTTATAAATCCTGCAATTATTTATTTGTTTTATCATGTCAAAGAGTAATCTCGGGAAATTATTTTTTTCCCAAAGATGGATTATAACTTTAAATTGATCGCAAGAAAAAAATCATTAGACGATGATTATAATTTTTTTTTATATTTTTCTTTAACGATACGAGAAGGGTTGATTTTATACATCTTCGTTGGAATTGAGAATTTGTCTAACTAGTTAATTCGCTTAATAGATTAATTGCTCAATTATATTATTATTCTTATTATTATTATTATATCGTAATTATTCGGATTCATGATTATCCGATACAATATCTGTCAATATTATCGTATATTTGATTAAACAAATTAATTTAACAAACTTCCTGTTCTTTCGTTATAATAAATAATCGTTGCATGGACGACCATTTTTCTCAACAATTTTCCTCTACGATTTCATTTAACGTTCATATCTTTTTCGATTATAAAATAACAAAGAAAGCAAAAAAAGACAAAACAACACACAACTAAACATTTTTCAAATGACTTTTTGCATTTCAATCTTTATTACACAAAAATTCGTTAACGTATCATCTGTTTTATTAGATCTTTACATCGTAAAAAAAAGTGGTTACAATTTTTCTTTTATCTTATGTATGTGTTTTTCCCCTTTATTCTTTTCTATTCTTCACCTTTTTATCGCCAACAAAATTTTTTCATCATAGAGTGTATTTGGAGAAGTGAATTTTACGAAGTTAAAGAGTAGAACAAAACATAACCTCTAACAAAATGAAATAACAAATTTCGATCTCGTCACGTATATGACGTACTGTACCACATTAAAAAAAAAAAAAAAATTAAAGGAGAGAGAAAAGGTTATAAAAAAAAAAGGTAAAGAATAAGAAAAAAAGAAATATTGAAATGCAAGGTCCCCACAGGGGTTGAACGTTTCTCGGTACGCCCGTTAGAGAGATGATACTACTATGTGTTAGAAAGAGCCAACCAGTGAGCAAGCGAGAGAGAAAAAGAGAACCACACGCGCACGCGCGTACGCGTGCACTTGCTCGACATACGGGCCAGGCGTATTTTCTCTCTCTCTCTCTCTCTCTCTCTCTCTCTCTCTGTTTAACTCCTACTCTATTACCCTTTCTCTTCCTCTCTCTCTCTATCCCATTCATCCCCCACCTAGTGGCGCGCTCCATCGGTTCACTCCCCCACTCTTGCGCCTCTGGAAAGCGTTTGGTAAGTGGTGGGGGAAGTTGGTGGTACGCTTTTCTCTATCCTCCGTCTCTCTCGCTCTCGGTCTCGCGCGCACAGTGGCTCGAGCGTGCCTCTTTCTTCCCCCTCCCTCTTTCTCTCTCTCTCTCACTTTCTCTCACTCGCTCATTGGTTAGCTAACTCACTCGCTCACTCATTCTTTCTCTCAGTCTCTCGCGCGAAACGGTCCCGCGTTGACGTATCTCGTGGTGGTGTATTGTGCTGTTCCTCTTGGTTTGTACGTTGCGGCTGGTCCAGGTCCTTTCGTTTAAGAGTTGAGACTTTGATATCGTCTCTCTCCCTCTCAATCTCTCTATCTCTTTTTCTCTTTCTTTTTTTTTTATTCTCTTTAACTTATCTTATCTTCTTCGCATACTTCTTATATACCACTACTAGTACTTTTCTTGACTTACTTTTTTATTTCTTTATTTACTACCTTTTCCTCTTCCTCTTTTCCTGTTATTATAAACTGTCTCTTTATTATTATTATTATTGAAAAAATTGATTGAAAAATAATACAGAGTGAATGAGAGAGAGAGAGATAGATAGATAGGCGGATTAACGTACGGGACAAACGGACAGACTGACACAAAGATTCGTGCAAAAATCATGTTCTGGATACATAGTGGAAGGGGCGAGAGATAGCGTGTTTGCTATTTTCGAGACGCTGTGGAGTTTTGCCAAAGCGTGCCTTGCCTTCTTTTTCTCTCTCTTTCTCTCCCTCTCTCTCTCTCTCCTTTTTCTTTCTTTATCTATTCCTTCTTCTCAACTATCCCTCTCTTTCTCGTGGTTGTTGGTTGAGATAAGTGAAAAGGAGAGTTGATGTTACCGTTATCCTGTTACTGTTATCATTATTGGAAATTAGATAAGAAGAGGAAAAAAAGGGTTGGTGAAATATTTTTTTTTTCTTTTTCTATACAGGATTTCTAAATCATTGTTTACTACTTATCTCTCTCTCTCTTTCTTTTTTTTTCTGTGCGTGTTTATATTATATAAATATGTATGTGTAGTGTGTTACGTGTGCGTGTTTGCATTTATTGAAAAGAAAAAAAAATATTTAATTTATTTGTTTTTGTTATATATTAATTTTTACATTAATAAGGTCGATTATTTTATATTAGATCGATTGATCGATCTCTCAACTATTACTAGAAAGATCATATCACAAACGATTATGATTCATCGATTGTAACAATGTTTCGCGCGTTCACGTTTGTAACGGTACGTTACATTGTAACTCGTGCTCGTGCTATTCGTACTCGTGTTTAATATTCTTGTTTCTTTATTCCTTTCTTTTCCTTCTGTTATGTTGTCGTTTGAAAACGCGTGACTCATGTTGCTACGGTCATATGGTGCGATATGAATTTGTCAAAGAGAATATTACATAAAGAGAAAGAGAGAGAGAGAGAGAGAGAGAGAGAGAGAATATGTAAAGTGAGTGTATAAAAATCATTTTGTCACACTCTCTCTCTCTCTCTCTCTCTCTCTCTCATTCACTCTGTGTGTTTGTCCTGTCTGTCTGTCTGTCTGTCTCTTTCACTCTTTTTCTTTTTCATTTTCAGTTTCATTTTCACTCTCACTATCATTCTCTTTCTCTTTCTCTTTCTCTTTCTCTTTCTCTTTCTCTTTCTCTTTCTCTTTCTCTTTCTCTTACAATCAGTTTATACTATTTATACGTGTGTGTCTGTGTGTATGTTGTGTGTACATAAACCATAAAAGAAGAAAACGGTAAACCGAAGTATTTCAAAGATTACTTTCTTCAATATTATCTTTTTTTTTTGGTCAATTCCTATCTATTTCTTCTTATTATATGTTTTTTTTTTTTCTAATTATTATAATCTATTTATCTTACAGATTGTATTTTCATTTGATATATCTTACTGAAAATAAACATTTCGATTTTCGATTAACACGTTGAGCGTCACGCAAATTCTTAGGGAAATTTTCGTCAGGCCATAGACATTACTTTGTAATGAAAAAATAGTTGAACGTGTCAGTCATTAATGACGGACGCGGCCTAAACGGAAAGTCTAATGTCAGTTACCGATGACTGACGTGGCGCTCAATGTGTTAATTATAACTCATATATAATATACACACAATTATACATAAAAAAGAGAAAGAGAGAGAAAGAGAGAGAGAGAGAAATATTGTTCGATATTTTTCCGATAATTCGATCAACTATTCTTTTGTTTATCACTATTATTATTATTATTACTATTATTATTATTATTATTATTATTATTTATTTATTTATTTATTTATTTATTTATTTATTTTCTGATAGAAAATATACGAAATGAAAATTTTGATTTCTATTTCGATTATAAAATTTCACGAAAGATTTACCTTAAAGTTTGAAGGTTAGAATCTTGTCGAATTTTGATGAATGGAAACTTTGATAAGAAAATATCGAATATTTTCCTCTTATATCAATATATTATATATGGTGAAGTTATATACATTATATATATATATATATATAAATAATACCTGAGATTTTAGTCACGGTATTATCATCGTGTCTCGTTTACGAGCCCATTTTCACAAACGGTTTAGATTTTACAATCATACCGACGACATTTCGAACGTTTTTCCTCTTTCAAACCCTCCTCCTTCTCCTCTTATCTCCTTTAATACATTCCTTTATTTTCCTTCTTCTTTTCTTTCATTTTTCTCTTCCTTTCTTTCTTTTATTCTTTCTTTGTTTTGAAAATTCTATTCGTCGTTCGAAAGTTCAATTTAATTTCATTGGATTTATCTCTAAAGGAACGAAAATAATTTTATCAACGATTAAATACATTTACAATTAAAATGAAACAAAGTCAATGTAATATAATCGATAATTTAATTTTGATCAAAATTTCTTTTTTGTCAAGGTAATCCTTTAACACTAGATATACCACCATTTTCTACCACACTAGTCAAAATGACTGGTGTATAATAAAAATGCTTTTTGAGGCTTCTAGTCTTTATTTACTCTTAAAAAATAACCAAAAATGTTTAACAATAATAATTTTAATAGATAAATGGATTTATAGACATTTTTAAATAACAGAACGCTTAATTATTTACAGAAATCAAATGTTACATGAAGTAGAAATTTTGAATTAAAATGGCTGGTCTGGTATATCTAGTGTTAAAAGCATTAATCTAACAATGAGAAAAAAAGAGAAAGAGAGAGAGAGAGAGAAAAGTTAAAAGAGAAACAGAAAGAGAGGGAAGAATTTTGATAAGATCAAAAAAAAAAGGATCGACCTTTTAAACGAGAATGAAAGAAAATGAGAAATAGGATAAAAAAACGTAATATAAAATGTGAATTTTCGTGCATTGATTTCACAGGGAACTATCGAAGGATCTATAAGAAATCTCGTGAAAAAAAAAAAGAAAATTTGAATCAACTCGAAGTTGATATAGATCGAAAAAAAAAAAGTGATTTTGGAATCGAAGAAATAATATTCATTCTTCATCATCTTCTTTCTTCATCATCTTCTTCTATTTGATTTCAATAAATTACTTCGAAAATCAACGCGTGGATCCTTTTTCTTCTTTATTTTCTACAATGAAGATAGGAACCAATTGGAGGAGGTTCGTTGATCTTTTAAACCATTTGAAATGTTTATTTTTATCGTTTATTTGTTTCTTTTTCTTGTGTTAATCTTGAAACAAAACAAAAATTAATTCCCCCTTCCCAATTTTTGAAGTATCATTAATTTTTATTGAAAATAATTGTTTCAATAATTATCCCTGTTTTTTTTTTTTTTTTAATCTTTTATTATTAATTGTTTTTAAGTTTAAATAATATTACAAAAAGAAACTTTTTTTTTAGCGATCGGAATAACAACGAAAGTATTTTACGCATTATAACCTAAAAATATAGATAATTCATGTATATATCGGTATATATGGAATATGTATGTTAGTTTCGTATTCAAATGTATTCCATTTGTTAAAATACTAGTCTTTGTATAGAATCTCTTTAAGTTATTCAAATACCCACACTGGTTGGTAATGCAATTCATTAAACGAGGCCAATTAGTAAGTATGTATTCGATCGGTAGGATATCATCGTAGTTTTGAAAATAACTACCAATCGGGAAAATTCTATTCGTCGAGGAGGTTTGATTTTAATTTGATTTATTTAAAGGAACGAAAATAATTCTATCAACGATTAATTCATTTAGTATGAAACAAAATCAACGTATAGTATAATCGATAACGATGAAAATAACTTTTTTTCACTGGATGATGAACAAATCTTCCATTTCTTCCTTTTTTCCATTGCCTTTCTCTTAATTTTTATTTATTATTTTATCTTTTTTTTTTTTTTCTATTTCGAAGAAATATCATTTAATATTAATTAACATCGATTGTAATGCATCATCAATACAGAAAAGTAAAAGAAAACAGTGTGATGATCTAATTGTGACAATCAAGGATTATGGTTGTGTCTGGTTTCAGAGTGTACGATGTTGGAAGGTGGTCGTGCAGTGATCTGGCTCCTTGTATCAGCCCAACGAGCTGCACGACACCCATAAGATTACCGTACTAACCCTGTTGCACCTGTTGTTTGAATAAAAACATACATACAAAAAATAATCAAATCAGAGTAAACTTAAATAAAACAAAGCAAAAAAAAATAAAAACCATCAGTCGCAGAGCCCTACACCGTAACCCCATGACGCAATTAACACATGGCCCGCCTGGAGAGTAAGTGTTTTCACGCTTAACTTGGATTTTACTCTTTCTCTCTCTATCTTTTTCTAATCCTAAAAACAAGTTTAATCCGTTTATATCCCAAAGAACATCGTTGCTTCACGAAAATGTTTCTCTAATTCGGAATCAAACTGAATCTTCAGAGTGTTCAATGAAATAAGCAAATCTTTGCTTAACGCATTCACCCCTAATCAAAGTTTTTCTTTTAATAAGTTATCTGTTATCTATTATCTTTATTAGAAAAGGAAATTATCATGTGGTTTTTGATCAAGATAAGTATGACTACAAAAGGGAAACTAGAAAATATCATTTCAATAAATATCATTAATCTTAACTAACAATTAACTAAGTTAAGCTAACAATAAGCAAAGATGAGTTAATAATCATATTTCCATCAATCCGAATTTATCTTCTAATTAATTTATCTATCATTAGAAAATAAAACTATAACGTGGTTTTTGATGGATATATAGGTATAACACGAAAACAAAGGAAAACCAAAAAAATAGAATATTATTATTGAAAACAAAATTCAACTTTAACAAAGCAAACAGATGAGTTATTATATTTTTGGTATGGTTGTAAAAAAGACCACCCAAGAAAAAAAAAATTATGATTGTTTTCACGAACAACTTCTAATTATTGTGTTTTAGTACCGAGTATAGTGGTGCATAAAGGAAGCAGGTCGCAAGGACGACCTGACAGTCCCACTGTGGTGGTGGTACACGGAGGAATGCCCTCGTTGCCGTCCTCCAGGCAAGGCCTCGTCCTCGGTGGCTCCACTGCAGCTTATACAAGTGCCTCGGGCTCGGATATGATAGACGGGAATGCCAACCCTACCGTCGGCACCAACCCCTCACCGAACTCTCACCACCGTCCCACGCCATCCTGCCCACCTGATAAATTGGATACCGAGAACAAGAACTTTCGGAATAGGGTAATGTATTTTCTTGTACTGTTTATTCTTCTTTCATTTATCTTTATACTATACTCTTCATTTTTGTATACAAATGTTTATTTTGTATTATACTATGAAACATTTAATGAATATAATATATAATAATACAATTTTTATAGTATATTTGTTAATATCTATTTCATTTTATTTTTTTATTAGTATTGTTATTTCTTTTACAGTTTGTTAGTCCTTCATTTAAGTGTACACTGTATTTTTTAAAGTTTTTTAAGTTACTAATACAGTTTCTATAGTATATTAGTCTATTTTCTTTTTTCTACTAGTATTGCTACTTCTTTTATAGTTTATTATTATTCATTTATGTATACAATATTCATTTAGAGACATATTAATTCATTTTTATCATATTATTAAGCATTTCTTCAAGTTTGTGAGGTTAACAATACAGTTTTCATAGTTTTATCCTTTTCCACTACTATTGTTACTTCTTTTATAGTTTATTATTCTTTCATTTATGTATATATTATATTTATTTCTATATACAAATTCATTTTTATAACATTATTAAACATTTTTATACAGTTTTCAAAATGTATTTATTAATCTATTTATTCTTTACCATTATTACTGTTATTTCTTTTACAATTTATTGTTCATTCGTTCATATATTAATTGTTAATTACATTTTTATAACATTATGAAACATTCGTTGAGTAATAGTTAATAATACATTTTTGATAGCACATTTATTAATTTATTAACCCTCTGCACTATGATCTCATCGTTTGAATAGGGTAAAGATCTATTAAAGTTTATTATCGTTTAATAGTATATTCAATGTAACGTCCATTCTTATCACTTAATGAAATTTCTTAGAAAAAAGAAATATATACAATATAATAATAATTCATTATTATTACAGTACATTTGTCAATGTTGTAATATTGAAATCATCATTAACACATAACAATATCTTTTCTTCAAAACCAATGAAATAATACTACATTTTATTTAGTTAATAAAACAAATCAATAAAAATTGCATTGATATCAATCTGCATCTAAAACAATGAGATATATCTATAATGTATAATATGAAAAGTAGTGAATAAATCAAATCAGAGTTGAGAATAAATCAAGAAATTTCACAATATTGATATTAGAGAATAATTCTTCTTCCTCCTCTTTATACATAACGATAGAAAGAAATCTTTTGAATAATTCCAATGATAATAATAATGATCCATTGTTACTTAAAACAAAAAAAAAGAAGTTCTTGGCAGACTTAATATTAACAACTTAAATATAACAAATAGATAATTTTCACATAAGAAACAAATCGTTTGATTTTCTAAGAGTAAACTAAGATTGTGTTCGGAGTTTCTATACGATCGACATGTTACTAACACATTGGCTCTCTTTAAATAGCTTTAATCTTGTACGGCTCATTGCTTCGGCCGCTCCTACTCGACGAAGTAATCTGATTTAGCTTAGCCGTTAATACCAATTAGTAGAGCACGATGAAACTAAGTCAAAATTTAGATAGATAGTTAGGTAGTATAAGTACCTTTCTGTACATGATGAGATGATCATCATCGTCATCATCGTCATCATGTTATATATGATTATAAGTTGAATCAATCAATACTATGTTCCCATGTATGCTATGTTTATATGAAAAGTTAAACAAAATGTCTTCATATTCTGTTTTGTTGTGTTGTGTTGTGTTGTTTGACAATGATGATAATGGTAATGATAATGATGATAATTTCAATATTTATGGGGATATATTTTAGACGAGTACAAAAGTGAAATTATTGGTAAGGAGTCATGCTATAGGAGAATCAACATCTCCACCAAGAGAACCACACAATAATAGTCCTTCTTCGCCACACAACACATCACAATCGTCGGTTGAAACGGAGAAAAAATTTACTACGAGTAATAGTAGTAATAGTAATTTGTCGCCTAATTCAACCAATTCTAAGTTGAACAACAACGAGTCGATGTTCAACAGCAATCTCTGTACTACCACCACCACCACCACCAACCAGTCACCTAAGCAAATGCGTAACACGGCTACTTCGCCCACTTGTCGAGTTCCATCGCGAAATGGTAAATATCTCGATCTTATTCAAAACATTGTCTATTTGTTCTCTACATTTTGATTATTTTAATATATTATATTATACACATTTGAAAACAATATTATTATTATTATTATTATTATTATTATTATTATTATTATTATTAAATAATATTTGATGAAATTATTTCTATTCTTGCACGTTGATATTTAAATTTGAATTTGAATTTGATTTCATTTCAATAATAATTATGAATCATAAATGTAATTGAAATGGTATTAATTAAATGTTATTTAATGCAGGTCAATCTAGTCCATCTCAGGTACATTCACCAAAGAATATCATCTCACCGACTAACGGTAATAATAAATCGGATAATAATCACCGTACGAAGATATCATCGGGTACGAATATAATACAGAAATGTAATAATTGCGTGAAAAACAATCAGAATGAGAGACCGGGTTTGTTGCAAACACCGGTCTCACCGTCTAAGACAGGTCAGGCTCTTCAACATTCACCGAAGAGTACGAATTTGGCCCCGAATGCGCAGAACAATCAACAGAGATCGGATCAACGTAGGCCGAACACCCTTAACATATGTAACAACCAATGTTCAGCACAATGTGGTAACACGCTTTCAGTAAGCAGGCCGAGTTCGAGACACAAATTAAGGCATCAGAATTCGTCACAGGGTAGTTTTGATAGTGCATCGCCATGTTTGTCTCGAGGTTGGTTGATGGGTGGTCGACTTTCTTTAATAATACAGAACGACGTGTTGTTACATTGATCTAATCCTTGCTTATTTTTTCCAATTACACAGATAGTAGTACAGAATTGTACACGGACAGTACTGGAATTGACCTTGAACAATTTATCGCAGAAACGATAAATCGTAATCAAAAGGATCGTACAGTGTTGTTAAAGATTGAAAAAGAATTAATCGAGTTTGCTAAAGATAGGCAAAAACTTTGTCACAAGTTTCCTAATATGTCGTCGTACAATAGAATGTTGGTACATAGAGTGGCAGCTTATTTCGGTATGGAACATAATGTTGATCAATCAGGATTAAGTGTAATGGTTACAAGAACGAAAAACATGAGAATACCTGACACACGTTTCAAGGAACATATTAGGGACGATCTGATACTATCCGAAGAACCACGTAGAAGTATACTTAAGAGAGATTCTAATTCGTTCGAAGATAGTTTCAATTTTAAATCACCCGATAGAATGTCCGGTGATTATTGTAGACGTAGCAAAAGTTTCGAGGAAAGGCAGGAACAATACGAAAGGACAAGGCGGAGGATATTCAAAGGAAGTAGCGGGGAAAGCAGTGAAGTTGCTTCTTGGCCATATTGGTCATCGTCCGAAAGTTCAGATGCATCCGCTAGGTACCGCTTGTTATATCCTTCAGATCATACGAGCAGGTGAAATATTCTACTCGCTAGATCCAATTCAATTGTTGAATGTTCTTTTTTTTCATTTTTGTTTTTAATTTATTTCATCAATGTGTGAAAAGAGTTTGATTTGAATCTATTAGAATTGTTTAATCTTGGTTTTTTTTCTTTTAGACAAACGCGATTGATGAAAGGTGAATCCCTCGATACGAGAGAATCTTATCGTCCAGAAGTTGTACGACCTTCGGTTTCTAAATCGTCCAGTTTTGACGGCTATACCAGAGGAATGCTTTCAAGAGGGGACAGCGTAACATCCACGAATAGTGCCGGAGCTCGTCTCATGAAACAAGGTTCGCCTCAGATTCTTTGCTACTCGGACTGATTATTGCAAGTTTATGCATTGGCATTTCTCGTCAAGGTAATTTAGATATGATGATTATTGATGATTAAAGATTGGAAAGGTATACAGAACAAGGAACACAGGACATATCCCTTTTCAATAATAAAAATCATCGGATGTTTTAGGTTTTTCTTTTCATTTTTTTTTTATTATCGTTTTATATTATTCATTAAATATAGCCAATGATATTTTTTATTTCTATTCGTTTATTTTCTTTAACGTTTAACATGGTATAAGGATATATGGGGATTTGAATTGTTTTCTCTTATTATTTTGTTTTCTAAACAGTTTTTGTGTCTTACGTTTATAGAATCATTGTTGGATGGAAATTGTTTGATTATAGATTCGGGTGCTAGCGTATGTTCCCGTTTAAGCCCATCCAGTAGCGGATACAAATCTCAAAGTCAACGCAGTGATGCTACGATCTCGCCGTCGCCATCGCCATCACCCGTTGCAACAATGACGTGCAGTCACACACAAGTATCTAGTCAGGATCTAGCCTCTCCGGAATCAAACAATCAAACAGTGATGTGGGCTATTACGAGCTTATCCAGTGTACCACCTGGTAGCATCATAATAAATCCTCAAACGAATCAACCGTACACGAATGCCGACGGTTCGATATATCGTTTTGATCCGGAGAATCCACCAAAGTTCTTTTCTACGGAAAATGATAATAACGGTCATCAGGTAGCCAATAACAAACATAACGATATGCCTGAACCCACCAAAGCTGCCAGACAGAACGACAACAAGAGTGAAAGTAAAAAACGTTCGAAATCTAATAATAATAATAATAATAGTAATAATAATAATAATAACAGTGGTAGTGGTGGTAATAATAATAATAATAGTGGTACAACAACAACAACAACAACGACGAATGCTGCTCATGTGACGAATACTGCAACGTCACCTAGTCTACCGTTTACACCACCACCACCACCTCCGCCACCACCACCACCGCCACCAGTGTTAACGCAGCAACAAAGTACACCTGTTCCGCAGCAACAAACTCTAGTCAAACCGTCCACGACGGTACAAACGTGTAGTCATAATCAAACGGTTCAACCGTACGCGAATTACGTACCTACCTCAGAACCGTACAACCAAGGTGGTGTATATCAATCACCGATGGGACAGCAACAAACTGTGATGATGTCGACTCACCCGACACAGGGTCAAGCTAACGTTCCGAACAATGCTCAACAAAATGAGGTTGCGTTCAATCAGAATCCTGTTTATGCAAATTACGGTGGTGTACCTGTTCAGCAAGGATCGATGCAACAATCTAACGTAATTATTATTAATTGATGAAAGATTTAAAAAATTTCTAATATTGTTCTTCTTCATTGGAATGCATTTATTTATCTTTTGGATTTAGGACGTATCCGATTTATCAGGATATTTCGTTGGTATGAACATCTATGATCAACGTGGTACAGGTGATAATCATTCTACACCACCGCATACCTATCCTCAACCACCGCCATCTTCCAGTCAAACTATGCAAAATGTTCAGACGATGCCACCTAATTATTGGCAACCTCCGCCAAACCAAATACCGGTATTTTGCATTCATTTATCCTCATTCAACATGGTACATTATTATTTATAACATATTAAATTTCTGCTAATGTACTTTTATTTATAGCCTCAGCAAACGATGTATTTTGTGCCACCACCCGGAACGACGATCTCAGTAGGACAAAATCCGGGTGATAGGCAACAATTACATCAACAACAAAGATTTACACCGAATTATACTTTCAATGCACAAACTATGACGTCGCCGAGTCAATCGAATGGTAATTTTGACTTGTCTTCTAATTTTTCTTGAATATCATTAATTCTTATGTTCCTAATTTGTTGTTTAGCAAATTATATGAGCAGCTATCCAGTACCTTACAATTCGGTGCCTGCTGTTGCACCAGCACCAGCCGATTATACTTATCAACCACCAGTACATATGGTTCCAACGTATTATCCACCACCAGGACAACAACCTATACAACCACCACCAGTTATGTACAGAGTGCCTACACCACCAAATACTCCGATATCCAATCAAGTAAGAAGAAAATATCCTTCTCTTATTATTCCTTATATTTTTATATGTGTATCACGAGAAGTTCATTCTAAATTTAAACAATTCTTAGATGCCTGGAGTACCGTTGATGTATGTGAACTCTGGCAGTTATGCACCACCAACTATGGTATCTGGTGGAACCTTTGGACATCAGGTTGCACATAATGGTACACCCCCAGCACCACCAGGCACTTACATGACTCCTGCGCTGGTTCCAAATCTTGTATTTAGGCAGAACGTTCCTGTAAATTAATGTTACACATATTTTATTTTATTATTTTAAATAAATTAAAATATTATATAATAAATAATTCTTTATATTCAGGTTGTTGCTGCTGGTGTTCGAGCTTCGACGCCAGGTAGTTCTCAACGAGCAAGCAGGTCACCTACACCGGCGCACGAATTGTTTGGAGGTGGAAGTGGGGACAGAAACGCACAACCTCAACCACGTTACCCACTGCCAATGTATCAAGGTGTCCATATCGTGCAAGGTATACAAATTTTTTCAATTTTATTAACATTTTGATTGCTACAGTAGTTAGTTAATTAATTCCTATTCATTCTTTGCATAAATGAACAGAGTATTCCAACACTCGCTTTAAAGAGAAATGAAAAACTGATTTAATTCATTAAAATTGAAATATTGGTCACATGACAAACTTCGTAATAATAAATTGATAATATTGTAATTTAATAAAACGAAAAATTGTGATCCATATAACATAACCTAAGATTTGAAATGTGGCAATCAATATGTTAACAATATTATGTAAATATTTTTAAGGAATGATTAACAATTAATATAATTTTTTGTTGTATAATTCAGGAGATATGAGACTGATGCATCCAGGAGTACCAACCAATCCTCGGTTACCATACGCACCAGTACCTTCACCACCTGTTGTTCAAGGTTGTCCCCGGCCATATCGACCACCCTCTTACTCTTCGAACACGTCGGGTGGTGGTACGCCAACTTCTTTTGACGGGAGGAATCAAAAGATTCGGAAACAAAGGTAGGTTATGATTTTATATATATATATAACAGTATTTTTATTAAAGAATATATTGAGATTAATCGATATAATTATTATTTATATTAGGTCGAAGGTAGCACCTTTACCACCGATCAGTGCGAGGCCCAATATTTATCAAACTCCTTCCATGCCATCACTTTCGTCCAACGCACCGAAAGATATCAGAGAAGGTAAGATATCTTTAATGGTATCTTATTACAAACCCTTTCCCCTTTTTTTATAATAATTTATTTCATGATTTATCGTATAATTCTTATCTTTAAATAGATATATATATTACTTCACTTAACACTAGATATATCAGACCAGTCATTTTGACTGGTCGGGCCATTTTAATTCAAAATTTCTACTTCATGTAACAAAAATGTCTATAAATACATTTATCTATTAAAATTATTATTGTTAAACATTTTTTTGTTATTTTTTAAGAGTAAATAAAGACTGGAAGCCTCAAAAAGCATTTTTATTATACACCAGTCATTTTGACTAGTGTGGTAGAAATAGGTATATTGAAAATGGTGGTATATCTAGTGTTAAATATTTCGTTATCTTTTACATCTTTTGTTTAGCTTATTAAAAAGAAATATAAAAACAAAGTAATTTTTAATAAAAAAACCGATCAAAATGATATTCAATTGAATAATTATAAATAATTAAAAGTTTTGACACGTTATCTTTTTATTAAAAAGCGAAACCCGTGACAAAAAAAGTATAATACGTAAAGTACAGAATATTTGTATACAAAAAATTACTCTACCTGTGGACAAATAATTTTTATGATAAACATAAAACGAAACAATGTATATAAATAATATTGTAAATATATTTTTCTATAAGATTTCTCAATTTTGAACTTTTTAAAGTCAAATTTCGAAGTTTATTACTTTTGTTCTAGCTCATGTTAGAAATCGTTTATTTTTCTTTTGTCATATTTGATCTTATACTTTTCTTTTTCTTTTTTTTTTTCTACTTTCAATCTATCGTTCTTTGTGGATCGTTGTTAGATCAATACGACGAATTTGCTGGAGAAAGTGGTGGTTCCTGTTTTCGTGAACAAGTTAACGAGTCTGCAGAATCATGGTCTTTCTCGAGATAAATCAGGTCAATACGTGCGCCATGTTTGTTTCCCAATGGAGAGAAAAATAAAAATAAAGTAGGAAGATGTTAATCTTATCAGGCATTATTTTCATCAATTTTTTAATACACGCGAAAATGCACACAATTTGTTGCTTATATTTTTATATATAAAACACGTATATTATACGCATATTATATATATATATATGTACATATAAATACACGAAAAAAAAAGGCTAATTATTCAATTTTCATTTTCTTACACGATAATTAGAAATAGTATGACATTTGACGTTTATAATTGCACATTATAATTTATTGACATTGAATGAATTTTGATAAAAGGTCCAATATAACAACCAATCTAATTTATATTTTGATCGGAATAAAAATGTTTCTTAAGTTACCAAATTGGGTTACGCTTTTTCTCTTGATTATAATATTTTTATTTTATTTTACCTTTATTCATTTATTTCTCTTTTTTTTTTTCCTTTTATTTATATATATTTCTTTAACACCATCATAGCGCACTTTGTTGCGCTTTGATTTGCACCAATGAAATAATGATAATAACAATAATAATATTAATTATTGCATAACGAAAATGTTTAAATGCAAGCCGGTCCATACCCACATTAGCATTTGATTCTTTTATTTTTCAGATATATTCTTTTATTTTTAGGAACCGTAAAGGTGACAATCACCCGTCGAAACCAGTTGGTACAATATTAGGTAACGAAACGCCTGACAAGAAGAAAGAAAATCAACGTTGAGATGATTTAAACGCTACACTTGCGTTTTGTCTTTCTGTGTTTGTGTGGGTGATATTTAGATTCAAGAAGAAGAAATACAATTACAAAACTAACAAGAAAAATATGAGGATTAAATATATAAATAGGATTAATAACGAATGGTACGCGAAAGAGACGGAAAGAAAGAGAATGAACAAAACATTATATATATATATAAATATATATATAAGGAGATAAAAAAAAAGAAATAATGAAACGGTAACCTATACTATATTATCAGAGTAGATATATATATATAATTCGCGATTAAATGCTCTATTATGTTAATTATACTCTTACTTATTTAATGAAGACTAAGACGTAATTATAAGCGCGTAAAATTTAGGTTTACGAATATCTGAATGAAGTGTAAGATTGATGGAAGTTGAGAAGATAAGAAAAGAAACAGAACAATCCATCGATGAGGCTTATAATTATGATTATAATGATTATGATGATTATGACGATAAAAATGATGATGATAATGATATGATTATGATTAATAATGGATTCAATGAAACAGAGTTACTGAAAAGAAAAAAATTTAAACTATTGCGATTATTACAGAGTCAAATATATGTATGTATATATATATATATTATACATATATTGTATATGTATAATATATGTATATATATATATTATAACTGGAGATATTTTAATCGCGGTTTTACAGATACTATATGAATGTGAGATTTATTTATAAGTAATTTAGATTTAAGATGACACAATTAAATGACACACCGCGCACGAGAAAATGCACCGGCATATGCACACATACCTGGAGAACAAAAAAGAAATTAAAAAAAAATATATATATATATATACACTAATATACATAAATACATACATAAAAACACACCATACATACATATACATATGATACAGTTATATTTGAACATAAATTAGACGCGGGATTATCACACACGTACCATAAATAAAAATATACAAATAAATAAATATATATATATATATATGACATATATATATATATATGACAAAGATATAATATACCTATGAAAGATGATCGGTGCACCTTCAACAACCAACAACAGCAGCAGCAGCTGACGATGAAAACAAAGATTACAAGGAATAAAATATAGGAGAGAAAGAATGAGAAAGAAAGAGAAAGAAATAGTATATAACTTCAAAAAAAAAAAAAAAAAAAAACAAATAAACAAATTACTGAGTACGTTTACAAACAGAAAACGCGTTATTCGAAATATTAGCACAAAACATGATCGGCCATATACGTATATTTTTGTTGCCCATAATTTTGATACACACTCGATATCACAGACGAGAAATGAAAAGAAAAGAAAAGAAGAAGAAGAAGAAGACAAAAAAATACAAAGAGAAATATAAATAAACGCTACCTCAATTTCACATTGTTCGAGTTATAAACGACAAGAAAAGAAAAAAAACATTTTTCTGAATTCATTATGAAAAAGAGAGAGAGAAATTTAATACAAGAAAATGCTATTTATACGCCTATTATTCAAAATTCTCTTTCTATTCCGTTAAAGTTTTAATCGCTTTGATGAAGTAACTCCAAAATGGCGTGTGTTTATTAATAAAAAATATAAAAGAAGAAAAAAATGAAATTAATGAAAAATATTATGGCAGGACCATATAATACATACGTATAATATACACGCGCACACATATATACATGTACACACATTATTTGTATATATATACAAGTTACAAAAACCAAAAAAAAAATAATCATCATTAAAAAGAGAGAGGACAAAGAAAAGAAAGGAATAAAGAATGAAAAATACTGTAAAAGTAAACAAATTAACACCGATGGTTTTCGTTATATAAATATATATGTAAAAAAAAAAAAAAATATTGAACGAATGAATTATTAATTAACTTTTAATTAAATTTTTATTAAATTCTCTCCACATAAACTCTCGTCGTTTGGGGTTTGCACACATCAGCTATCAATTTTATTTATTAAATCGACAAGTTTGCAATGAAAAATATTTTTTTATCGGACTGTTCAAGAGACCCTTTCTTTTTTTTAATTATTATTATTATTATTATATATTATATATATACACATCTATATATTATCTATATTTATCTATCTATTGCGATTGAATGATGATGATGATGATGATGCTTCTTCTCTCGCTCTTTGAAAATAATATGTAACGCTCTTGGTTACGTAACTCAGGTGCAATGAAATATCGATTAAGTAAATAATACAAAATATATGTAAACGTATTCAGTATAATAATAATGATCTTTATGTATGGTGTCTCTTATAATTAGTTTCAAAACGATGATGATGTAGTTTAAGCCAATGTCGAGAACCATCATGGCGGTTGTCCCGCGATATTTTCTAATGGCGGACAAATCAGTTAACATGAAAATGAAAATAATAACGATTAAGAAGAAAATTAAATGATAAAAAAAACAAAAAAACAAAAATAATGCAAGGAAAATATAACAAAGAAAATCATGTCCCTGATTTTAGTTTCTATTTTTTTGTTTTGTTTTTGTTTCTTATTAACGATTATTACAACATCAATATATATATAATATATAATATATTTAATTACACATTACATATGTATATATGTACATATGATTATACTTAACACAACACACACACTCACGTATGTGCGAGTTATATTTTTTTTCATTTTTTTTTTTATTTGTTGTTTTCTTTTTTTTATTGTTTTGGTTCATCTCATAGGAGAATCGAGAGCAAGATGATATAGTTTTTTTTTTTATGATATACATAACACACACACAACATACATGAGATAAAATAAATAAAAAAGCACGAGTTCACGAGGATCCTAATTATAACTTGTCTTCCAGGAATTTAATAAACGCACGGCTCACACACACACACACACACACATCGCGAAAATTATCTGCACTGTAATTAATTATTTTTGCTTCCTCGAGAAATCACGCTTACATTTTTATGTACACATAAATATATACGTTATATACATGCACACACATCACACACACACACACACACACACATATGTTCATCATTCTTAAAAGATCTCAAGAAACAAGGACTCTCTTTCTCTTTCTCTTTTTTTTCTTGTCTTTTCTTTTCTTTTCTTTTCTTTTCTTTTCTTTTCTTCTGTTCTTTTTTTAAATCACAATTACAGATATTTTCTTATGTAATGGTCGATATCGATATTTTTCGTTTCAATATGTGATAACGACTTAAGATAAAGATTATTTATAATTAACACTAGGTTTACGGATACTTTATATATATATATTTATTTTTTACAAATGTAAAAAAATTCGATTGATTGGTAAAAGAAAACACGTAATTTTGTGATATATGTCATACAAAATTGAAAAATTATGTAACTAAATAGAAAATGATTTAAAGTCTTGGGTTGTTCAGAAAGTTCGTGCTAATTTTCGGTAAGTGTCATAAAGTTATTTTGCTAAAAAAAAAAAAAAACCTGAGAAGTTCTGAAAGGATTTAATTTTGAGGTTACCTTTAAAGATGGAGAAAGATTGTGGAACAAAATGGCACTTATATATAATTTAATAAATATATACCAAAAAGAAAACTTAAATGCTTTGCGTTTCAATCTTCCATCAAAATTGGCACGAACTTTCCGAACACAACCCAATATATATATATAAACTAAATTGATGTCTTCCGTAAACCTAGCTGTTACATTTTTTCTCCTATTTATAAATATTTTCGAATGCGTATAGGTTATGTTTAGAAATTCGTACGAAATAAATAAATTTGTCATCATTGTCGATATTATGCCAAAGAGATAGAGAGAGAGAAGGAGAGAGAGAGAGAGAGAGAGAGAGAGAGTGTTCTTCTTTTTTAAAACATATCTAAAAAATAAAGAAATAAATAAACCAAGAAAATTATTTTATGATTGAAATGATTGCGGCAAATGGCGACACGCGATGGTGGTGATTTAATGTTTCCGTCTGTGAAATCTCTTCGGAATAATTGAGATGTTATTAAATATTGTCGAAAATTGAATAGAGAAGAAAATAAAAAAAGAAAGAGATAGAGTGAGAGAAAAGGGAGAGGGAAAAATGAAAACAAAATATAATAACCCTTTTTTCGTTCCTTTTATATTTTCTATTTATTATTTATATTTTCTATTTATATTTTCTATTTTTCTCTCATTCTCATCCCCACTCTCTCTTTTTTCTTAAAAAAAAAAAAAATCTCTAATCTTAAATCAACGATTTAAAAACGTCTAAAGTTGTTCCGCGAGAGAGAGAAAAAAAATAGTAAAAAGAAGAAAAGAAAAAAAAGTAAAAAGTAAAAAGTAAAAAAAGAAAATTAAAAAATAAAAAGACAAAAAACTAAATGGAATCCATCCAGAAGTTAGCTTCGCTTACGATGATTGTAATTTCAAAACGTAGGTGAAGTTTACGACTGTTTCTTCATGCAAGAATCGAATATATTATAATAAATACACATATGTATGTTTAACAAAAAGGAAAGGAAGGAAAGTTGAACAAAAAAAAATAAATAAATAAATAAAATAAAATAAATGAACACTTTAATGGCCGCTCATACAACATGTGTGTGAAGTTAGCGCCGAAGGTTGTTGGTCAGTACCACATTTTCTGTGTGATAATTTATGAATGTAAACAAGTTTGGATATTGTCATTGACTTTATATTTCATAACTACGTCTTTGATTTTAGATAATTATCGTTTTGTTGCCTATTTTTCACTTTAGATTTAATATTATCAGCCTCTGACGACATTTGACGGAGTAGACTTGCGGCCATTAAAGTGTTAAAAAGAAAGAGAGAAAACAAAAATCATATTTAAAAAAAATAAGAAAAAGAAAAGATAATTAATTTTTATAAAAAAAAAATGTTCACTTTCCTCTCGATTGTTTTAAGAATAAATAAATTGTTTTTCTAGATTTTAAATTATAATAATAATAATAATAATAATAATAATAATAAATAAAGAAATTTAAATAAACGAAGAATCAAGAGAGACCTGATCGATGTACTAAAAAGAAAAAAAGAAATAAAAAAATGTAAGAAAAAGAAAAAACAATTTATAATAAAAATATTATAAATAATAAAAAATTCGATTCGATTGAAAAGAGACAGTCGTAATACAGTGTGTAGTGTATTTTAAACAACGTACCTAAGCGTCGTCGGTAGCAAATTAAAAACACAAACAAGAGAATTATAGAAATAATTAAATAAAATAAATAAAAAAAATATATAAAATAAAATAAAATAAAATAAAAATAAAAATAAAAAAAGAAAGAAGCACACAATCGTACATAATACACACACCGTAATTACACACGTGGCACTCATACACACATACAAGCACATATATACATAGAAAACTACAGATACGAAATTAAGAAATGAATTGTACCTAATAAACAAAAGTAAGAAAAAGGAAAATGATCGAAAGAAACTAATAAGTTGACGAATATCTAAGTTTATATATTATATATGTTAATATATTTATTAATATATTAATATTATATATAAATATATAAATATATGTTACGGTCAATGTAAAGAAATCTGATCATTTTGTAAATAAAATCTCAAGAAAAGGATTTTGATCAATTTAGAATATATATTTCAATGAAGTGTATCGTATGGGGTGTATATATATATATGGGGGTGGGAAGGGTGAGAAGTTATTTTCAAAAAATGTAAATTAAACAATTTTTTAAAATTGTTTTCAAGAATTGAAACAATTCTTCACAAGTTTTAATCAATTTTTTCAATTTGCTTCAGAGAAGTATTTTTTAAAAATTGATAGGGGCAGGGGTGGGTTATAGCAAATGATTATTGGACGAAAAAAAATGCATTTTCAATTCAAGAATTAAAAATGAAATTTTCAGAATTTGTAGAAAATATTTTTACACAAGTTTCAATCAATTTTTTAAATTTGTTTTAGTGAGAAGCATTTTTAAGAAATTGATGGGGACAGGGGTGGGCTATAACAAATGATCTTTGGATGAAAAAATGTTAAACTCTTAACAAAATTTGTACACCACGTTGTGATTTTTATATTAACAGTATAACAGTATATATATATATCTTCAATTATTAATAATTATTAATGTATCTTCTTTTTCTGTATGTTAAGAAGAACATTTGTTATTTTAGGTTTTGCTAGGGTTATAATTTTTATTGTTTAGAGTTGTGTCAGAATTATTTAGCTCAAAAAACCCTGACAAAACCTGAAAATAGAAACGTTATTTCTAATATAGAAAAAGATACAAGAATTAAAGATATTAATAATTAAAGATAAATATACTGTTACTGTAAAGATCAACGTGATACTAGGTTTTTATAAGAGTTTATAAGATTTTTCTCTTTTCAGATTATCTCATCCTCTCTCCCCATACTCTAAACACACCCTCTAATCACATTTTAAAGATTAACACAAACTTGTTAAAAATATTGTGATACAATTTCTAAGTTTTCACTGTTCATTTAACTTATACGAGTTCAAAAACACTTTTGTACCTTTTCACCCCTGTATTTTAAATACACCCCATTACAAAATTTATTCTAAATTGATCAAAACCTTTCTTGACATTTTATACAATGCCAGGATTTTCTATGTTGACCATAACAAATATAAAAATATAAAATAAATCAATAAAAGATAAAATGAAAGAGATACAAGATGTTGAGAAAGATGAACAAAGAAATGAAGAAAAAATACAAAAAAAAAAAAAGAAATTACCGTCGTATCGTACTCGCGACATTCGATCGAATATTTTTTTGAAACAAACGATCGATGGGTGTGTGTGTGTGATTTTTAAATGTTTCTATCATATTAAACAACAACAACAACAACTATGCACAAAACTGGAAAAATAAAATGTTAATAAAAATCTTACAAGAGATAAACGAAGAATTTAAAAGGATAAATGAGAAAAAGAAAATGGTGAGGAAGATAATTTTTCGAGATAGAGAATAATAAAAAAAAAGACACAAAAAAGTATAAAAATTGGAGGGGGAGGATAAATAAATAAAAGAAAAAAATGATCGACGATCAAAGAAAACTACGAACGTTAATATGAAAGATTTTCACGTGTGTGTATGTACATATTTTTACGTGTATATATACATTTACGTATTTGTTGTGTTATAAAAGTTATTTAGAGAAAAAAAGATATGAAATAAAAAAAAAAGGAGAAAGAAATAAATCGGAAAAATTCGAAATGCAATTTAGAGAGATTAGTTTTGGTTTGTTTTTATTTTCTATTTTGTTGGCTCGTTGATAACTTTCGTTTCTTTTGCTATCGACGATTTAAATGAGAAAAATATTTTGTTTTAATTGTTAATATATTCGTTGAAATTGAATTTAGATTAGATAAATAAAAAATTATCAGTGTGACATTAATTGTTTTCAAAAAATTATTACACACGCACACGTATATCGCATATATATATGAGTCCAAAATGAAGTTGTATTATTAAAAAAAAAAAAAAGCAAAAAATAAAAAAAGGAAGACAAAATTGATTTATTTTTTTTTTTCTTATATTTTTATTTGTTATTAGTTCTTTAATAATAAAAAAAAAAAGAATTAAAAAAAAAAAATATACGAAATGAACGTTACGCCATTAAATCTTTGTCAATAATTTTCTAACCTCTCTTTTTTCTATTTGGTATCGATGAGAAAATAAAGATGAACGAGAAAAGATTTATATGAAATAATGTTAACAAAAAGAAAAATAATAATAAAATTGAAGGTTAGTAATAAAAAAAAAAAAAAGGGAAAAAGAAAGAAAGAAAGATCGTCGAACCAAACAGGATGCAAGAAGTAAACGTTCATTGAATATCGATTATTAAAAATGAAAGAAAAAAAAATAATAAAAGGAAGAAAATAAAAGAAAAGAAGGAGAAGAAGAAGAAGAAGTAGAAGAAGAAGGAAGAAAGAAAGAMAATTTATAGATCCGATAGCTGCGGATGGAAAGATGTCGGAGAGCACATTTTTTATATTATTTTTCTACGAGAAAATAAAAAAAGGGAAAATAATCGGGGGTGTTAATAATGGAATGGAAATATGTTGAACCAAAGAAAATGATTAAAAAAAAGGACATGAAAAGATGAAAAAAGAAAAAGGATTATAATTTTTTCTATCCCAAGAATTTCCATCATGGAGGTATAAACAAACTATATCATCATAATAATAATAATGATAATAATAATAATAATAATAATAATTAAGTATTATACACAAATCGAGAAGAATAATAATATTCTGTTTTTTTTTCTCTTCCTACAAAAAAAAATATTTTCTTTTATCGTTGGTTATATTGTTAATGTTTAATTTGTTCGTTTTTGTTTGAAACATTTCAATAAATTTGATTGATCTCTTCTAATTTTCTCAATAAAATATATTTGGTGCTTTAACATTGACATTAAAATTGAAATAAAAAAATGTTGCTTTAATTGTTTAACAATTAACAATATTGTTTTGTCGAATAATATATCATGTGTTGATTTTACTTATCCTCTTTTTATTTTTTATTTCATCTTAAAAATGTTTCGAAAAAAATATTACTAATTATTAAAATAATTATCCACGAGATATATTTTGATGTTTCACGAAAAATATTTTTATTTTTAATCGTGTGTTGATTAATTATTATTCCTTAACCATTSTCCCCACCCCACCCCACTACGCCATCTTTTATTTGTCTCGTTGTTCATCAGTGACGTTGTATACAATGTGTTTTACAAGAAAAATGCGTACAAGTATTCAGGTGACGTATTAGTGAAAAATGGAAATAATGAGTGGAACGCGCGAAAAAAAGAAAATATAAATAAAAAAATAAAATATAATTTATAAATTTCTTAAAGACATTAATAAAAAAAATTCTTTAAAAAAACTCTAAGGATATCGTGAAAGAAAAAAAAAATGTGTGTGGAAGAGGAAGAACGTTCATGCATATTCACCGATTTCTACGTGGGTTGCATTAATAATTATTATTAATATTACTATTACTATTACTATTATTATACTACTAAAATTACTACTACTATTATTACTAATACTACTACACAACTACTACTACTACATTTATTAATATTATTACAACTATTATTACGAATGCTATGGCGTCCGAACGAAAATAAAACTAGTCTTTTAGAAAATGAAAAAGAAAAAAAAAAGAAAAAAGATATAGAAAGAAAATTTCTCAACATTTTCGATTAATTTTCATGTAAGTGTGTATGCGTGTGTGTCAGTGCAGTATATAAATAATATATATATATATATATATATGCTTATGATATAACGGGACAATATATTCCGTACAGACATATGCACATACATATTATACGTGTTTTAAAATAATCTATATCGTACGATTAAAATACAAATAAAAAAAATATAATTTTAAATAAAGAAGATAAATAATAAATAAATAAAAAAAAAAAATTTATTAGATTACGCGAATCAAGAGCCATATTACCAACCCAAGATGATGATGGATGCACAACAAACAACAACATCAATCGTAGTTAGACGAAAAATTTCATAGAATCACATATGTCAGTCTATAATTATATTTCTTGTTATATTATATATACATATACATATGTATATATGTATTTATATATATATGTATATATATATAAATATATTATATATCACATATTTTCCAAAAACGAATTATATATATAATTCAATAAAAAAAAGAAGAAAAAAATGGATATTCTCGTTTGATACTCTGTGAGATGTTTTACAGTTTGTATTTTCCTACATTTTTTTTTTTTTGAAATTGTTAACAATTTTTATTTCGTACAATTTTATTATTCTCTTATGAAAAATAATACACATTAAATTTTCTTATTATATATATATATAAATATATATACATGTACTAGCTGTGCCCCGCCACGCGTTGCTGTGGCTCACAATCAGTCCGATTATTAAATAGAAAAGAAAAAAAAAAAGAGAAATCATAAGTTTCCAAAACGTTACACCTCCCTCCTCCGAAACGAACTCAATTTCTGTCTTCCCGGTCCTTTATAAAAACCTTAATCTTTCTCTAGATGAAAAGACATATAAGCGGCATTTTTCCTGTAGAAGATAACTTAACTTTCCCCCTTCCCCCTTTCAATTAAATGGAAATAAAAATTGAACATAAGTATTGAAAAATCAGACTGAACTTTAATACACTCGTAATAGACTCGTCGTTAAATGACGGAATCAAGAAGGCAATCACTGGTTCCCTACGTTGTCATAATATACATATTTATTAACTCCACCTTTTTCGCTACCTCCTGCATTCTTCCTCAAAGCCCTTAGGTCATTTCCGATTAATTAAAGACTGGATCTTTCCTATACTTCTGCATTAGGAGTGTTCCAGAGACTTCGGCGCATTCATCATACATACACAAAACGACAACATTAAGGAGTGTCATCTTACAAATAAAACACGTTTGCTTTCTTTTCAATTGAAACACTCTTACGCACACACTCACACTCATATCGCCGCACGCACCATAAAAGAACATTTTTCCGACATTTATTGATCCTTTTAGAAATATTCCTATACACACTCACACGCACTCTTTAGTTGTTCTCTCACTCTCTCACATATGTCAAATGTTTGGCGTGAACATATTTACATAGGCTCAAATGTACCGAGAATTCACTGAAATCTGTAGTCATATAAAAAATTATTAAAAAAAAAATTAAATATAATTATTTTACAAATAAATTAATGTAATAAAAACGTAGCTTTATATGAATTCAACGTTGTGTCAACATTTCAAGACAATCGGTAAAGTACTTTTGGAGATTCACGATTAGACACAAACGAAATCTACATTTATATATACATATATAGAGAATATATTAGGTTAGGTTATGTTAGGTTTATTTATTTCGCCGTTGGTTACGTTTTCTGTGTGCGTTGGTCACTGGTTGACGTGCCTCTCGTTTTCTTAATGTATCAGCACGAAGACGTTGATTGCGTTGCTCTGAATTTTTATTTGCACGTGTACATGCAACTTGTTCTCTTAAATTTACATTATCCGTCGAGTGTTTAGCGCTGGTCCGCTGTCTCTGTCGTTCTTGTCCTCGTGCTGTAGCTATATTTTGTTCACGTGCCGCTCTTGTTCTCGTGATAGTTTGTCGCAGACGTTCGTCACGCTGTTCTTGGGATTCGTGTGCACGACCCTCTGCTGTCCTGACTCTTTGAGCCGCATTCCTTGCTATAGTTTGTTCTGCCGACTGATGAGCTCTTTCAACACGTTTGCGTCGTGCCTCTTTGCTCCGCGCATTATTGAGGTTAGATTTTTTTGGTGGCATTTGGCTGAAAATAATAATTTAAATTGTTAAAATATATGTATATATTGTTTCACCCTTCTAAGATCAACCCCTATTTTTTAATCGTAATTATAATTTTTCAATTTCAATTTTTTTGCGCTGAGAGATTGATGTTTATTTATTTTTCAATTGCCATAATTAATAATAAAAATCCGGATAACTAATTTTGATGTATAGATAGCTATGAAAAATTGCAATTTAAAATATATATTTCTTACTTCAATAAAGAATAATTTATTAACGTAAATAAAGTATACTTTGTTTACAACGCTTCATTCCTGTTATAATGATATAACAATAATAGAATTATGTGACATGATATGATAATACTTACATGTATTTATTTTAATAGAAGATTTTTAATAAAGTCCTATAAGCACAATAAAGCACTAAACATAGCAAAACCAAGAACAATTTATTTTCACTGTATTACGTTTACGATAATGCCATTTTAACTTATTTAGCCTCAGCAACACGTGGCCGATTATGCTAGCACCAAATACACGTGGTTATAATAATAAATCGTAGGTTACACACACACATAAAATGTTGTACTTTTAACATGGCTCCATCTATTGGATACTTACTCAATTCAGTCAACGAATTACCTTATACCGCCATCTGTTAGAATCTTATCGAACTAACAGAGATAATCATGACTCTTTGTTAATAAACAAATAATTCGCAATAAAATAATATTGCGATTATAACTTGAGATATAAACTATCCTATCTTTCAAGTTTGATAAAACTGCACATAGTGTGTAAAATTTTATTAAAATTGGTTCTGTAATTTAGGAGTCCATTGCGAACAAACAACGTGACACGTAATTTATATACATTAAGATATATACATATAATGTATCATTGTATATGCTACGTCGATAATTTATAAAATTTATTGCTATCATCTGTCGATAAGACAGTTTTCTAACTCATAACATAAATTTATTATCATAATCTACATTATCGACTAAAAATTATTTGTTAATAACTTTCAAATATTTACATATATATATATATATATATATATATAATGATAATAATAATTAGTATAAAAAAAGATTAATTGATGTATAAAATATACAAGAAATTAATTTAAAATAATATACATTTTAAAAGGTATAATAATAAGTGATAATATATATTTTTAAAAGGTGAATGAAAAGATCTCTTTTTTTTTTAATTTTTTTTTTTATTTAATGATTACAAGATTTTATTAAAGGTTTTTTTTCGTTATTTACACGATATCGTTGTATGATACTTTTTATGACAAAGGTCCAGAGTAACATTATGGGATGCAACGAGGTCTGTCTTCTCGAAACGTATGATAAAAAAAAAGAACAAAAAAAAAAAGAAACGAGAAGGGCGAGAAAAGGAGAGGTAGGTAAAGAATAGAAGGAAAAAAAAATAAATGTGGCAGAAGGATTACTATTATACAGGTATTGTTAATCCCCAATGTCGCTATGAACCAATGCCAATATGGCTCGACGATGGACGTTACAATATTAATTAAAATAATAATATTAATTATTAATAATTATAATAATAATAGAAATAATAATAATAATAATAATAATAATAATAATAATAATAATAATATAAAAACAAAAAAAAGGAATTGTTGTAAACGTGGTCCAATCGTCGGCCTTACGCCATCTTGCAACAGAACTTTCGTAGATTCTCGTAAAATACAAAAGCTTTCTTATTTTTTATTACATAATATCGAAGAAGAACAAGTATACCGAATCATTTATTTAAAAATAAAAAGAATTTATTACCAAATTATTATCGCCATTGCGAAGATAATTTTTTTTTAAATTTTATTTTATTTTATTTTGTGATTCTTCTTCTTCTTCTTCTTTTTCTACTTCTTATTATTATTCTTATTCATTTTGCACAAATGTAATTAATTAAAAGACGAATTATTTTGTCGTCTCGTTGATTCGTACTTTTTCTTTTCTTGTTTTGTTTTGTTTTTATTTTTGAGCCTAAATTTTTAATTACAATTGGTAACACTCATTACATCACCATCAACACATTTTAAGGATAACCAAAATGAAACGAGACGACGATATTGGTTGATGCATGTTATTTGTTCGTCCTTAAATTATTCGTTTTCTATTTTTTTTTATTTTTTTTTTTATCTTTTTATACTTTTTTTTTGTTGTTTTGTTTAATTCTTTTAATTTACTTTCGTTGACAATTAAAAACTAGAAATGCTCCGAAAATTGATGTCACTTGATTCCGGTATTGTTTCTCTCTTTCTCATTGTAATAAGTTGTTTGACAAATGTTCGAATTAAATAAATTTCATGAACCAATAAAAACACTCGTTGTGTTAATTATAAATATTTCAAGATAAAAAATGAGAGAGAGAGAGAGAAAAGTATCGAGGAAGTTCGGAGCAGCACCTGGTTGATTGAAAATTAATTACTAATTATTAAAAAAAGAGAATGTGATTTAAGCGTTATAAAAGATTACAAAATCTGATTATACAATCAAAGGGAGTGAACAAAAAAAATAAAAAAAAAATAAAAAGAAATCATAACTGGGAGTATTTGATTCGATTCAGAGCATCACGTTTGTCTAAGTTGACTATGAAAAAAAAACAAAATGCAAAAAAAAAAAAAAATATAATAAAATTCTTAAAAACTACGCGAATAAAATTATTGAGTTGTTCGGAATGTAATTTCATTTTTTTCCCTGACACAATAAATACATTATTTAATGCAAACCGATAAATAACAACACGTGAGATCGCTGAGAGATTAAATTAATCAAATTTAACTATTTATGTCCACTTAAAAGGCCTAGATTTAACCACGAAGCGTAAATTGTCTTCATTTTCACCAAATAAAAATGAAATGACTTTCCAAACAACCCAATAGATAATTTCAATTTAAAAATTACGTTATATTTCTTTTTTTTTTAATTCTTTTTTATTTAAAAAAGATGACTATCGTAAAATATGGACGGAAGATTGATGTGTGTTTTTCACGTGCAGTTTTAATACGACAGGTATTATTTATTTTTTTTTTTTTACGTATGACAGGGTATACCGGACTAGTATACGGAACAATTATATATATATTTATATAAAATATTTCTATTTCAAAACGACAACGAGTTTAACGAAAATTATTCGTGTCGATTCGATTATAATCGTTTTTAAAACGATCGATTTCCTAAGAAATTTCGATAAGACGTGGCGCTGTAGACGAAGCGCATTTGATCGTCGTCGATTCGATTTGTTCGATTTTTGCTATATTATTATTATTATTATTATTATTAAAAAAAAAAACAATCGAATTAACGTCGTAGGAAGCGCGAAAGGATCTTTTACGAAATATTTTTCAAAGATAATAAAAGAGAGAGAGACAAATAAAAAGAGAAAAATATTCACGAAAACGTTTTTATATTTTTTCCTCAAAATGGAGGATTAGGGGACTGAGAAAATTTTGTTCTCTTTCTCGTTTTATATTTCCTCTTTTCAAAGTTAAAATGGGCAGTAATCAACGGCAGTTTAGTTTTTAATTAATTATAAACGTTATTCACATTTATTTAATTATATTCTCTTTTTTTAATGTGTAAAAAAAAACACATATTTTTTCTCTCTTTTCATCTTTGTTTTTCTTTCGGATGAAAAAATATTTCGAAGTTGTTGTTCGTAAAGAAAAACGGTAGATCCTATCGAGATACCGTTATTCATTCATTGTTATTATTATTATTATTAATATTAATATGAATAATTATTAATATCATTATTATTATTATTATTATTATTATTACTATTATTATTATTAGTTATTTTTTCTTTATTGTTGTAGTTTGTTTTCTTTTCTTCATACTAACGTTACTAAGAACGTTTATGTTCTTTTTTAACTGCTATGACTGTAGGCAGTGTTCGTATAGGGTCCACTGTAAATCGAGGATCCTGTCGTTGACACACTCTTGTGTCGTCTTCTAGCGAGTAGTACCAAAATGGCGGCGATTACTACAAGCATAAGTATCAAGCCTGCAATGGCGATGCCGATGGCGAAGCTTCTCTGCGATATGCAGATGCTATTTGGATCGTCAATCGTCTGTTAAAACAAAACATTTTCTTCATTATATTTAAAACAAATTGATATTTGAATAATAATGATTAATATATTTATATAATCAATCATTTGTCTATTTAATCATTAATCGGATAATTGTTTCTTTCGATTTCAAATAATTGTATCTTTTTAGATTATATTTAAGTAAATCTAAATTTAAATTATAAAACTAAAATTATAAATTATTTTCTTTTATTTAATAATTTTATTTAATCGGATAATTGTTTCTTTCAATTTCGAATAATTTTATCTTTTATTTTTTAGGTTATATTTAAGTAAATTTAATTGTAAATTTAAATAATACGAGAATAACGCGAAATAAGTTATTTTTAACGAATAATTGTTTCTTTTAATTTTGAATAATTTTATATATTTCCAAAGATGTATAATTGCAATTTTTTTAGGTTGTATTTAAACAAATCTGAAACTAAGTAATAAGAGCAACGAGATCAATTATTTTTCTATTTAATTATTAAACGGATAATTGTTTCTTTTAATTTCGAATGATTTTATATATTTCCAAAGACGTATAATTGCAATTTTTTTAAATAAATCTAAATTTGAGTAATAGCGACAACAAAATCAATTACATTATTTATTTATAAAAATATATTTTTATTAAATGTTCTTACCCTCTCTCTGAAGACGTCATCGGTAAAATCGGATTTCGAGCTAACGTCGGAAGCTTCATTTACGTAAAGCCCGCTATAAACTTCAATGGTAGCAGGTGTACCACCATCAAGACTTTCGACAGTTTTAATATTATCGCCACCGTTGTTTGTGTCTCTGCGTCTTCTCGTTATCGTGTTACATAACGGTGGCTGTAAATGTAAATAAAATTATGAATTTATAATCATTTATTCTTTTTTTTTTTTTCTTTTTAACACACAATACTAATATACATTTTTTGAATCGTAAAGAAAAGAAACATATATATATAAAAGGGAGGAAAAAATTACCGTATTACTGCATCCTCCGCCATGTTTAACACAGAGTCTCACATTACATTGATAATAAACGCTCGCCGTGTATGGAAATTTATGTGCTTGAAAATTGACTTTTGCCTCCGTTTTATCTTCGTTATAAGTAAATTGTCCCATGATTTCACCATCTACGGGACATCTGTAAAACAAAATAATATTTATAGGTATTATATATGTATAAATATAAAGAAGACAATTTGACTTGTTTTTCACGAAATTTTAGGTTCCAAGAGGAACTTCTTTTGAATTATTCATCCTGTAATCATCAATTCGCAAAAAAAATATTTTTTCGTGTATATATTTACTTGTTTTCATATATATACATATGATTTTTACAAAAGTATTCGTAATATTGTATATTTTAAATAATTATTATTGTAATGCAAATATTTTAGTTTACTTAGAATACAATTTTGTTTTGTTCTAAAATTTATTTCAATTGTAAAGTTTAATATTTTTAAAATATGTTAATATTGTATTACAATAAAATATTGATTGTTTTAAGTTTACAGTAATAGTACGAATACTTTTGTGATTAAGTGTATAAGTTATAATATTAGATCGATCGGAAAGTAATGTCGCTTTTTAATCTCAAAATTTAAACAAGTTTTTATTATTAATCAATAATTAAATTAATTAATCACGTTTTCATCAATCTTTTTCTATCTGGTATGCAAAATTTGTAATACTGTAAAAATCATCAATCGGTTTTTTGATTAAAATATAAATATAAAAATTTGACATGCGTAGTAACGACATTACTACGGGGACTTTTGGTCCCCCTAATATTAGAGTTAGAATTTGAACCTAGAAAAACTTACCCTTCGCTATTAATCAACCTTTGTTCTCCCCAACCCAGACCATCTCGAACCAAACAATCGGAGATCTTTAAACCAAACATCTCTTGTTTGTCAATACTGATGACCAAAGTTAGAGGATCACCAATTTTTACATTCTCTGCCACCTGATGCCTCGTAGGATCTCCACTGAAGATTTTCATCGTGCATCCAGGCATAGGAGCAGTTGCCTGTATCATATAAATGTTAATATAATTTAAAAGAACAAACAAAAAAAAGTTTTGACAAAATATTTCATAGGATTTAATAAACTAACCTGAAGTGGTAGAGATTGCAACATGGCCACGTGGGTCTGATCGTTCGTAACAACTTTATCTCGTGTTTGGTATCGACATCTCACATGGAAACCCCTGCCTTGATTCGTGACCAACTTCAGGTGTGGTTGCACTACTATTGTATTGAAATATTCGACACCACCGTCATCCTGTAAATCAATAACATCAACAATTAAATCACTTCGTATTAATGAGATTTCATTTTATTATACTAAATAAATTACAATTATTAATGATGTAACATTAAATTATTTAAATATTTATTTTTAATAATTATTAAGTATATCATTTAATATCACAAATTATTGGGTTGGCAAAAAAGTAATTTCGGTTTTCTAGGATGAAATAAAACTCAATTGTTTCTATATAAAAAATAAACCGTAAATTAAATAAAACTAAAAAATTCTAACATTAACAAAAGAATAACGAAACAAACAAAACGCTATTTGTTGGTGCAAGCCGAAATTACTTTCTTGCCAAAAAATATCTTTTAATAAAACTATTTATCTTCGTAAAGATAATCTTTATTATTCGTTTAAATATTAAATTCTATGAACTTTATTTAATAAGAACATTTAAATAATATCCTACGTGTTTTGTTTAACACGAATGAGATAATAATTAATTATCATTAATAAGGACACGTTATATAGAACAGATCCGTCCGCCATGTTGATTTTTAACCTCACAATTCTCTCGTACCGTTTATGATCTCATTCGGTACAGAATAATCGTCTATATATGCAACGTGGTCGACAGTTTCTTTGGACTTTCAGTTTTGCAGTACTCGTTCTTGTCTGTCCTTGCACCCTATCAACAAAAACCGGACCGTTCGCTTCTCGCCTTTTCTTTTTCTCTCTATCTATCTCTCTCTCTCTTTTTGTTTCTTTCTATTTCTCTTTCTTGTTCTATTCGTTTGGTTGACTTCACAATAGTACCGAGAAGGGACTAGTAAGCATTCGATTTCTTTCTTATTTTCACGAATAATACATCATCCATCATCATTTTTATTTTTACAAATATAATATGTGTTTGTATAACTGTATAATATTTGTGTAAAAATAAAAACCTATGAAATTTCTTGGAAATATGAGTTTAGTCAAAGGTGTATAATTATTTTAGGTAAATGTGTGTTCATCTCTTTATTGAATTTGTGGTTTTTTTTTTGTACAAATATTATACAGTTCTACGAATTTAGTATGAGGAAAAAAAATTAAATATTCCTAGCATGTTTTACACGTTAAAAAATATATATGTATATATAAACGTTAACAAAAATATCTTCTACGTATCTTTGAATTTTTTTTTCTTTGTTCATTTACTTTCCATAAAAAAAATAAAATGATGATGATGAAGAAGAAGAAGAAGAAGAAGAGGTTTTATTTCTCATCTATAAAGATACACTTGAGTGAATCTTAGTAGGCGTACGACGGAAGAACGATTAATTCTCGAACGATGATCGACCTTAATGAGGATAATTCGCAATCAAACGATTTCCTGTCGGCCAATGAATGCAATCAAAGTGGATAACGATAGCCGTAAAAAAAAAAAGAATAAACAAATACCCAGAGGGATGATTATACATTTTCAATTCTATTATTTATTTTGTTCGCGTAACTATTGTTTCTATCATAATTAATATTTTCCGAAGGATTTGTAGGATCGTTAGCCTTTTTTTTTAAATTTAACATAAAAATTAACATTTCAAATACATTATTTAAATATTAAAAACAAAATGTTGTATTAGGTGGACCGAAAAGTACTGTTGCTTTACTTTAATGGCCGCACGTTTATGCAGTCAAACGTCGCCAGAGGGCGGTAATATTTTTCAAAAATGAATTTAAAGAAACTTTATCAAATTTATGAAAAAATTAACATAAAAGAAAACAACAACTGATTTAATTTTATATAATTTTAAATATATAAATAGTTATAAATAAATAACGGTTGTTGCGGCTATCACACACATGTTGTGTGAGCGGCTATTAAAGTGTTAACCTTAAATTCAAACAAATAAATGTTTAACAAGTTTTTATTTTTAATCAATAATGTAATATCACCCTCGTTATCAATAACTTTCTTCCATCTAGTTTACAAATTTTTAATACCGGACTGATAAAAACGCAATTGGTTTTTGATAAAAATAAATCTAAAAATTGACATTACTACACCCAATATAATTGTTAGTTTGCATAATTTAGACATAAATTAATGCAAATAAATTATAAAAATATAGAATACAATTTTTAAACAAGACAAATATATTAAATGATCTAAAAATATCAATTATTTATTATACAGTAACCTAAATGTTATTGCTTGTTATGAAAAGTGAGGTTAATGGTAGGGGTTGGTTTTTTTTTTTTGTATTTTTTTTGTTTGTAAACAAGGACTACAAAGTGACGTCAACAAGTAAAAGGTATAACCTCGCAAAAATTGTATGGTATACTTCGATGTCATCGACATTCCAGGATTTTCATTATTATCATCATGAACATCCGGTATGGAGGTTAGGTTAATTGCATTCAAGCCGATGGAATATTTTTCCTTGAGATCGAACGAATGAGGTATACGTAAAAGGTTCGTGAATAGATAAGTTATCTGTAAGGTTTGATCCGATTATTTTTTGTAATTAATTTTTATTTATTAATCTCCTTTGGTGTATCGATAACATGGTCGTCTTTAAAGATTACTCTATCAATAAACGAGTTTGACAAGATGCAATTGAACCACTCTCTTTGTATTGTATGCATATATTATACAAGGTGTCACAAATTTTTTTGTTCTGTACACAGACATTGTATTATATAACGTATTTTATATATAAAAAGAAATATTTTAATTAATTTAACTTCAAAAATTTTATAAATACGAAAATAATATACAGCACACACTTGTATCTTAAAATTGTACGCGTTAGATTGTAAAAGATATAAAAATATTTTGATTTTTATATATCTAACAATTAGCCATCTTTTATTATTATTATTATATTTAAATAATTTTTCAAATATTAAATCAGATATTATATATAAACTCAAATAAAGAATTTCATTTGAAAAAAAAGTATACAGAATAAATAAGTGGAAATAATTATTAGAAGAAAGAGCGTATGTATAATTTGTGCAATAAAACGTAAAAGATGTAAAAGTCGGTGAAAGAAGGAAGGAAAGAGATGAGACAAGCGGGTTTGGGAAAAAGAATAGAGAGAAGGATAGAAAACAGGTAGAGAACCGAAGCAAAACTACTTTTCTCATTGCTGATACCATCCATCTTGGAGTCCACAAGGGTGGTCGGTCAGTTCGTGGATGCATCAGGACAAGACGACCAAACAAGTTCAAAAAACAAAAAAGGAATTTAAAAGAATCTTACTCGTTGGTGTTCTTTTTACGTGTAACGTCAAGATTATGTCTTTCTCTTTCTTGTTGTTTTTGTTTTTTGTTTTATTTCTCTTTAGAATAGATAGGAAGAGGATCGGATGATACTGCGGTGTGTCTTTAAGGCGTGGTTATGTTCACGAGTAAGGATGATCGTTGAGAGGCTAGTACAACAACAACAACAACAACAAAAAGACCTTGGAAAAATTGCATACCCCCCCCCCATCCCTTCACCCTTTTCCCACTCTACACTTTTAACACCGCAGTTATCTCGTTCTATTAATTTTCTTTGTTTGTATTATCTATTAGATGTAGAAATTAATTCGTTGTTTTGATATTGAAATTGATTTCATCAAAATTATATGAAAAATGAATCCAAGAAAAAGATTGATGTATGATTATTTTATAATATGAATATGAATATGATATTTATTTAAATAGTACTGAATTAATTGCTATACTTAATGTTAATATATATTCTTATATGTTTATACAGCTTTTACAGCTTTGTAGTATCAAGAAATTACAGTTGTCTAAAAGATGGACAACGAGAATATTAAATGTATAATTACTTTATAAATGAATACTAAATCTATTAAACAGAT